GTGTGGGACGCGTGGCTCGCCTCGTCGTCGTCGACGCGCTGGAGCCGCGCCATGGTCGACAGCGCGACCGTGACGTCGCCGCGCACGGGCTCGGCCGTCTTGTCCTCGACGGCGCCCGTCTCGAGCCTCACGGTCCGCGACGCGCCCCGGGGCAGGGGCACGATGCGGATGCGCCGCGTGTTGTCGTCGCGCGACAGGTAGAGCTCGCCGTCGTCCTCGACATCATTATAAACGCGCAGCGACGTCTCCTCGCGGGGCGCGGCGATGGCCTTGGCCTGCTTCTCCTCGGCCGCGGGCCGCTCGATGCGGTCCCGCCGCGCGTCGCCGCGCTCGCGGTCGCAGATGGGCCGCTCCTTCGTCGGGGCCAGGGCCGTGGAGATGGTCTTGGTCTGGGGCGGCACGGGCGCCGGCTTCGGCGGCTTGGGCTCGGCGACGAGCTCGGACCCATCGGGCTTGTAGTAGTCGCCGCTCGGCTCCTTGAGCGCCCGCGTCGTGTCCCAGTGGAGGTGGCTGAGCTGCTTGCTCCCGGACGCGTCGATGCGCTTGAACTCGGGCAGCACGTTGTCCATGGCGGCCGGGCGCCGGGCGGCGGCGCTGCCGTTGTCGAGCCCTGCGAGGCTGCCCGGCTGGAGAAAGATTAGAAAGTTTCACGGCATCACCCGGGGGAACTCTCCCAAAAGATTACAAGCTCGGGGCGCCGATCGACGAAGCTCGGGGCGCGACCGTTTGCTAGCGCCAAGTCCGCCGCGTCCGCGACCGCGACCGGCCCCGAGCCGCGGCGATGGACGGCCGCGCCGCCCGCGCGCCGCCCGCCGGGCGCGGGCGCGTCGTCGAGTCGACGCGGCGCCCGCGGCGCGCCGCGTCGACGGGACGCGCGTCTCGCCGAGGGGCTGCCCCAACTGCCCCAACGGCGACCTCGGGCGATGGCGACGGCCCGAAGGCGCGGCGCGCGTCGCCGCGGCCCGGCGCTCGCGGCGCGTCCCCCGCGCGCCGCGCGCCGGGACCCGGATCGCATCGTCGAGGCGGCCGACCGGACCGGACCGTCGCGCGGGGCTCGGCCTCGGGGCGACCCCCGGCGCGAAGCGCCGGAAGAAAATTTTGCGCACGCGCCGGACGCCCCGCGCGTCTGGGTCTCGCCGCGAGCTCACGCAGCCCGTCGGATGACCGGTTACGGGCCGCGGACCGTCGCGCCACGGCGTCGTCCCCTCGGCGCGCCCGTGCAACCGTAAAACGGTTGTACTTTCGGACCGACGCGGGCAACAGCCCGCGGTCGAAGGCAACCACGCGGAGGACAAGGAGTCCATCGACATGCAGCTCGTGGACGTCGTCCGCGAGGAGTCCTAGCACCTCGACTACCTCCGGGCCTTCCGCGGGCCTCCGGCTCGCGCGCCGACCGTGCCCGAGGACTTCGAGACGGCCGCGTCCACGACTACAACCTCGACGAGTGCC